GGGAGCCTCGCTCCGCCAGGGCGCCGCTGCGTTCCCCACAGGCCCCCGCTCCGCAGCGCGCAGCAGCGGCCACTTCCGGCGCGACCATTTTGTTTTTCACCGCTCGCCGTCCCGCCGGCCGTGAGGTCGTACTCCGCCTGTCAGCATGTTCCCTGTGGCGAGGGCTGCTCTGAACCTCACCGGTAAGCAAGGAGGAGGCTCTCGGGAGTGTGGAAGTGCTGGGGGTGTTTCGCGGGAGTAGGCGGTTTCGTCAGGGGGTCTCCCCCCCGTTTCTTGCCTTCCCTGTGAGGGCTGCACCTGAACAGGGCCGTGAGGGCAGCTGAAGGGCGGCCGTCTCGTCACCCTCCCTCTGCTGCCTTCTTTCTTTTTTTCTGCCTCTTTCACCTCCTGGTTGCTTTTACTTGAGCTGACCTTGGGTTCCCTTCCTCGGTGATTTTCCTCCTTCATCGTAACGAAGGGCGCATCCAGGTTTTGTAACCTGAGGTGGCAAGGTGTAGTCAGTCACCAGCCCTTAAACTCAAGAGCAAAGTGATAGACTCCCAAGTGCTTACCCCAGGCCTCTTAAATCTGGTCCTGGTTCGTGATGTGCTTAGCCCGAGGTGCGTGCACCTAAAATAAATGTGTTTAGCTGTGTTTCTTTTGGTAGATGTTCCAGCTTCTTTTTTCTGTTTAAAAAAACCCCCAACTTGCGCAGCTTCACAGGGCATTCTGGGGATGTATTAGCATTGTGGGTATTGCCATCATCTTATCTACACCTGTTTGGGTAAATGTGAACCATTGGCCTGAAGCCAAAAGATTATATTTTGTAATGTCTATCTTTATGCATAGATCACTGTCTTATCGAATGTTTTGTATGCAACCACTAAACAATCTCTGTGTTTTGAAGCTGGTGGTTTGGTTCTTCACTTTTGTCTTCTCCTTAATAAGTGTACCTTTTATAGTGTGCATTTATAATGCACATTGTACATTCAGTCATCTAAAGATCTCTTCCTGTATCGCGTTCTCTGTTATTTACCTCATGCGAAGGCTCCCAGTTATCTCCGCTTCCTTCTCCACCTCCCTCCCTTCCCTTCAAAAATCATGAAGGAATGAGAAAGGTGTTACCCATACCCGCTATCTTCAACCCCTTAACTTGATGGTGAGCTTCAGCCTGAAAATGCTTACATTGGGTACACATACTGGCAAAATTGGTATTTACGTACAGAAACCTGAAACTTTTAAGTACTAAAC